ATCGAATTATGAAACACGTCCTACTACTACTAATAATAATAATAATCAGCCAATAAAGCAATCTAGGAAGCCAGCAAAAATGTATTTTTCACCATCAACTTATGAAGCAATTGAAAATCATAAAAAATTTTCTTTTCGTCGTTTTATTGTCTGTTGTAATCCAAGAAAAACAACAGCTACCATGGATTAAAAAACGAAAGACATTTCCTATACATATATATTTTTATTAAATGCATTCTCAGGTGTCTGTATGTTTTTTTTTATTTATTTATAAATATTCTCTTTCATTTGTCTATAACATAATCATATATAAAACTTGATCAAGATAGTAGTACCAATGATTATTCATCCATCATTTAACTGTTGCTTTAAATAATAAGAATAATCCTATTATGTTCTTTGATGTAAAAATAAATGACCCAAATCTTGTTTTAGTTCATAGTTGAGAAAATATGTGTTAAGAATACCTATTAATATAAATGAATCAATGTACTCAACTAATCGGCTCTTTTCATGTTATCAATACGAAGTGCTAAGAATAACGTACATGCAAATATTAATGAATTACAATGTCAACAATGCTGATTAGAAATCGACATATACAGATGTTAAATATTTCTTGTGTGTAAAAAATGGATATTCTTCTAGTTTTATTTTTCAATAATATAAATTAAAAGAATAAATATAACAAAATAGTATAACTAAAGCTATTTGTTGCATAGCTATTTCTTTGTTTTATAATTATATGCATATAATATCACATATTATACGTCAGTTTCAAAAAAGACTTGATTTTTTTTATATAAACTTCTTTTTGGATGTTTATTTGTTATTAATATTGGTTTTAGATCGTCATCATCATCATCATGAAATGGAATTGTTGTTGGAACATGTTGTTCTTTTATTGCTGTTGCACTATCTCGAATAAGTGGATGACGAGATAAACTAGGAGTAAGTGGTTGATCACTATTCGGTGTATTCCACGGTGTATTATCTAAAAGATGTGCAATACAATCATCAGCATTAACATCCAATTGTTCATCACTATCATTATCATATGAAAACGGTTGAAGATTTTCTAATGTAAATGTTACATTATTATCATTCATATCATCGAGAGTTAGTTTTGTTGACGAATCAGAAACAAGTTTCATTTCCATAGGGATATTTTCATAAGTAAGATCTCCATTTTCAGCAATACGAGATAACATTTGTTTTACGATATTCTGTTGGGGATTTTGATCATCTTGCGCTATTTGTATTGATAAACGTCGTAGTGTCGTTCGTCTTTGTAAGGTAAGAGCTTTTTTACGACGATGATTTTGAATAATAACAGGTAAAAGCATTATAACACTTAATGCATACATCATCGGTACAAATAATGGATTATAAGACGGGAGAAAAACTTCTGGTAAATCAGGATCTATTTCGTCTTTTTTAAATAAACGTATATCTTTACATTGAATATCGAGATTATTAAATTGTAAAATAAAATGAAAACAAATAATAAATAAATGACGTATATTTAGTGTAAAATTTTGATGAAAAATTTCAATAGAATGTTCTTCCGATTTATTATTTGTCGATAAAAATAAACCAAATTTTAATTGTTCATCTCCAAATTCACGAAATGTAATAAAATATGAATAATTAGTTGTTAGATTATACCATAATATTATTGTATCATTTTCTCCATAGTCTAGATTAATATTCAATGAATTAGTAATTTTTGTTTGATTATTCGATAAAGATATAACAGAATACATAAAACAATAAATAATAATAATAATAATAGAATATGATGACATAAACGAATTTAATATTTAACTAGTATGAAAACTTTCTATCATTGAATCTAATTGTTGATGATAACAGGAAAAAAAATAAAAAAAAAAATTTTTTTTTTCTATATAAACATTAAGTTTTCTTAACTGTTAGCATTTTTCTTGTTCTTTTTCTTTTCTCCTGTAATGACATACGTTTGCGTCAGGCAATAGAAAAACCTGCTAGAAAGTGATGTATGTGTCGTATCTATACATTAGAGAATGGTCTTCGTGTCAATGAACCATGAGTCGGTAAAAATTTGCTTTGGTTTCTTTTTCTTTCTCTCTCTTTTCCATTAGCGTTTTTTTCCCGCCAAAAAGAAAGAGAAAGAAGCGAAAGGCATGCTTATACTTATTGATATATATCCTTACATTTCTATGACAGTAATGGTTGTATTAAAACTTTTCCGAAAGACATTTTTCAGTTATTTCCAAAAGAATTATAATAAAAAAAAACTAGTTGCAATCTTAACGAGAAAGAGCATTACTGCATGTTCAATATAAAAATATACACAAGATCTATATTATCATGAAATCATGTTTTTTGTTAGTTGCTGAGAATGAAAAAAAAACATTGATAATATAATTATTATAAACATTAACATAAATAGATTATTATTCTAAACTATTAGATATCTTAATACTTCGTTTGCAAGCAATTTTATTATTGTTTATCACAGATTGATAGAACGATACTTAATCTTATCTCCTGTCATAATCTTGCGTGTCTTTTTATTTATTCAATGTACTTTTAATAGAAAAGAATTGCAAGTAACTCATGACCTAAATCATTTTTTCCTAAAATATCTTACACAGTTCACTACCGTATGAAGTATACTATAGAAAAAGTATGACAAATATATCATATGAGAGTACGGAAACAGAAAAGAGAAGTGCTTATTAGTCATATAGAAATAAATAGAACAATGTAAACATCGTGATTTATAACATAAAAGAGAATTGTTTAGAAATGTAGACAATAGATAGAACATAGGGAAACGAAGTCTGATACTGCTATTTGGAAACAAAGTGAAGGAAGTAATATTGAATAATAACAATTTCAATAGCAGTTTCTATGAAATATGTCAAAATCGACCAAAGGGAAAATTAGTTTTACCATAATATAGTTTTTCCATCGAATGCGCATTTCTAATTCGACTATTTTCTTTCTGTTTTTTATTATTGTCTGTTGTAGCTTGCATTTTTTTCCTTCCTATATAAAATTACCATATTATATGAATTTATTTTTGGAAATTGTATTCCTTCTATTAAATATTTTCAGATATCAAACAATATAGATTATTTTATTCAGAAAAATTAACTAAATTGAATGACGTACTTACGTTATATTTTTGATGATTTTCAATTGTCTCTCATATCTATAAAAGCTATCTGAATACTGTTGAGCATAATGAAAATGGACAGCTTATACTTATGTAAGTATATTAGTAAAGGAAGTGATTATTATAGAACAGGGGTTTTAGTTAAAAGCAGGGGCCTATGAAAATTTATAGAAAAAGAAATCAGGAAATTAGTATTGATGCATGGCTTGTATACTTGTATGTGTTCTCCGAAATGAATTATTTACATAAAAATAGATCATATAAAATATATACAGGACGTTCTAACTTATTTACTTAACACTTTCCATTGAATTTTCCCCATTTTCCAATTAGATGAAGAATAAAAACAAATCAAGGGTTTTATATGTACAAACTGCATGTCTGAATGCACTAAAGATATAATGTATTTTTCTGACCACAAAAAGTCAATTGTTTAAAATTGTTATTTCCAAATTTATTTTTATTAAAAGAGAAATCACTTTAACTAGTCAAAATATAGTTCTTGAATATATAAAAAACATCATTGATTTTGTTTTGTTTTCAGTCAATATTTGAGAACACTTCAATTGAGTCAAAGTCTACATGAATGACAGAATGACATCAAGTTCAATTCAACTTGAAAAAGCAATGATTACTCTTATTTACTAAGAAAACAATTAAGGTCATCAAAAATAAGCTCGAACTCTATATACATTAAATATGTTTTTCTCTTAGAATTTTTTGAATAGATTTATGGTAGTCACTGAATCGTTTTTAGTTTGCATTATTCTCATAAGTCTGTTTTTGCTCTCGAATATTTATAACCATTTTAAATACTTAGTCTTAATGGTAAATACCAAGATTAATGAATAAACGTTTTTGTGTAACAACGATCAGTCATACATATGTTATTAATAAAAAACGCATCAATCTTCGATCTAACTATAATATAATTGACTTAAAGGATAAGAAATTATTGCTTAATTGAACATCTTTAGAGAAATTAATAATAAAAAAAGACATTAAACTGATTTGTTATTGAGTAAGGAATAAATAATCAATTATGAGCTTCGAATTTTTTTATGGCTTTTTGTTCAAGAATAGTGAAGGTATCTTCGAAAGATCGCGAAAACTTGTTTGGACTGGAAATTTTTTGTACTTTTTTATTTTTTAACTATTGCAATTCAAAACTAAGAGTTGGAATCTTTATTACTCAACCAGCTGGTAGAGCAAAATCTGCCCTACAAAATCTACTATTGTTTTTTTTTGGTCTGAAGGCAAGGCTTCTCAATTTTTTCTATATCCTGATTCATAGGAAATCGACTTTTTGAACAAAAGGTGTTTTTCATAAAAAGGAGCCTCTGAGAAAATACATATAACTTCACTTATGTTAACGCTATAACTTAAAGGTGGGTGTGGGTAAGCACGTGAAAAAAGAAAAGGTTAGTTCTCACGACTAGTTTCGAACAGAAAGAGAACCCATATGGTTGACAGTCGCATCATTTACTTTGCAAGTAGTCAATAAATATTTGAGATAAGCACATTTTTTATCTACGACCATATTTATCCAAATAATGCTTCATCAATGACTTCTCGGCAGCATTGCTTTCGCCGAATAACCATTGAAATAGTTATCATGTTTGTCTCTCTCTCTCTCACTATAAATATATATATTCGATGAAAAGCAGTACTTACTTCGCATTATTGATATTGAAGAGCAAAGATGACATTGAAACACATATTACTTTTGATGATGGCGATCGGAGTGGTAAACGGATATGATATTGATGCTGACCTAGCGCGTGGTCTGATTTCTAACGATTCACTTCTCATTCAACTCAAATCAAATGATTACATGCATTTAAGTGATTATCCTGAAGATTGTGCTGCAGTTTATCTCAATGCAATCGCATCACAACAACACACTACTACTGGTGTCTATGAGATTTGGCCTAGACAAGGTTAGAACTCTCGCTTTTCTCATCTTTTCTATTGTTTGCATACTGATTATCATTCCCACTACTGAAAGGAGGATTACTCACCAGGCGACTGCATCGAAAACGAGCAGATGTTCGTTCGTTCGCTCCTTTATTCATAACATTCACACATACAGCCATCTGATTATCAATCTCCCTATGGAAGTACGAGGGGAAAAGACGAGGGGAGAGGCAATTTCATCCAACAGAGTACGGAGATGCAGAAACTGAAGCAGAGGGACGGGGAAAAGGAAGCATAAATTCCATTGCAATCGGCAGCTTTCGGTAGAGGGCTTAATGACGTTTACGATACTTTACTTGTAGGTAAACCAATGAAAGTATGGTGTGACATGGA